TTGGAAGCAGGAGTGGCATCGACTTCCTAAACAAAATTCCTCTGGAAACTCCATGAACTTTGATAAATGATGATAGAGAAAGGCTTCAGGCCTTTTGTTCATAGAGTTGCTATGAGTAGTATTCAACTTGACGGCAATCGACAACAACAACAACAACATGGATTGTTAAAAAAAACCAACCCACATCTGTTTTGAAGGAAGTGCAGCCAGAGTGCTCCTTAGAACAAAGATGGTGACACTTCATCTGACTTTGGGCACATTTTCAAGAGGACCCAGTCCTTGGAGAGAGACAGTGTAGTGGGAAAAGGAGAGGGTAGGCAAAAGAAAGGAAGTCCCTGAATAAGATTGATTAACACAGTGGGCTTGAGCACGGCAGAGATCACGAGGCTAGTGCAGTACAGGGCGCAATTCAGATCTGTTGTTCGTAGTGTTGCTATAAGTTGTAGTCAAGTTGACAGCACTTAACAACATGACAGTCTTATAGAGGAAGAAAGTTCTCAGATGCTGGTGAGTTCCAATTTCTGATCTTTCAGTTAGCTGTTGATGCTTTAATAACTGCTGCATCCAAGTATCCTTTCTTGGCATGCTAGGCATAATAGAGCAAGGGTTTTGTGTTGTGGTTTTGTTGGGGATTTTTTTCCTCCTCTCTAGCATCTCCCCATCACTTTATATTGACATCTAACTTTGCCAATTTTTGTTATAAAGTTCTGTTTATACATGTGTCTTCTCTAGACTAAACTCCAGACTAGAGATCTGCCTTATTCATCTTTGTATCTATGGCTCTGTTTTTATGTCCAATTTAAAGTAGAAGGTTAAGTAGACTGAATGGGCCCAGAAGGTTACATGTCCCTAGTTAAAGAGAAACACTGGATATGATTCACTTACTCATTTTAATTTTGTGCATTTATAATGAAGTATACATGCGTATGTATGTATTTAAGTCACAATACATATTAAATATAAAACTATGTTCTTCGTATGTAAACGCATAGTTTAAAACCTAGTTGAGACAAGCTGCATGCTTATGAAAAAAAATTAAATAGAAAGCAAGTTGGGTTACTAAAAAAAAGTAGTTTCACTTTAAAGTGCCAAGATGAGACGTTGATGCCTAATACTACAGGAATTCAGACAAAGGAGTGACTGTAAACCACGCTGGATTAAGAAAGTCCCAGTGGACTGTACAGGAAGAACGAGTACAGAAAGAGAAAGAACGAGAGCAAGAAGGGTGGGAGTTAAATTCTCAGACTGGGAGGGCGATGAGGGAGATAGAAAAATGGTGCTGCTGCTAGGAAGTGAAAGCATGAAAGGTAAGGTCCCATGGAGGATAATGGACAATCAATCCAAGGGCCCTCAACTGAAGATGGGAAATTGTGGATCTTTGGATCAGAGACAGCTCTTTCTTAATAACCAGGAGAAAACTCTGAATCTGTGGCTCTAATTCTAGTTAAGTGGACAACATGATAGTGAGTGCTTGGAGTTTTCTTTCAACTGCTGCTGTGTTCTCTGTGGCATGCAAATTGGATCCTCAGGAGGCCCTGGAGGTCTGAGGAGTCAGAAGGTATGAAATAGCCATTGAAAAGAAGTGAACAGATTAAGAAAACATAGGGATGCTCTCCAGACAATATGAAACCGCTACCTGAGGCTTGTTGCTATGACTCTGCGGTGAGAGTGGTCAGCATATCTTGGTTTCTCCATGCAGCTCAGCAGCGTGCTGCCGGCATGGGCTTGGCAAAGAGCTGATTGAGGCAAGGGAGTACAACAAAGTCGTGTGTGTTGAGGTGCATGCAAGGGAGTAGTAATCATGATCTCGGTTATGCAGTTCTCCTATAAAAGAAGCAGATGCCTTTAACAAACAGATTTATTTTCTCACAGTTTGTGAAGCTAGAAGTCTGAATTCAGGGCACAAGCTGTAGGGGAAGGCTTTCTCTCTGTTGGCTCTGCAGGAAGGTCCTGTCTCTTCAGTCTGTTCCCTGGTCCCATGGGGATCTCTCCAAGTGTCTTGATGAATCTTCTTCCACCTCTACCTTTTTCATTTGCATGTTTAATATCCTTTTTATGTCAAAATAGATTGATTCAAGGCAAATCATATGTCATTTTACAACAACATGTAAACTATACATAAAATAAAAAAGACAAATCATATGTCATTTTAAGACAAATCTTGTCACATTAAACACAAAAAAATGACAACCATTCCCATATGGGAGCATTATCATAGGCCTAGAGGCAAGCATTTATGACACGTTTTGAAGGGATGCAATTCAATTCATAGTGGGGGGAAGATGACATAAGGAGAATCGTGTAAACATGGTAAGAGTAATAGATTGCATGACTGGTAGAGTTCAAGCATAGGTGGGCTCAGAGGAAAGGGAGGAAGTGATAGGCGGGGAATAGAACTCATGACCCGGAAAGCAAACTAGCATGAGATGAGGGGTGTCAGCAGCTTGGAGAGGAGAGAGAGTTGAGGGAGCAGCAGTCAAGACATGGGAGGCTCACTTGCATGAACATGACACCAACGACCAGGACCTAACTCCTTCTTGAAAGAATGGAGTGATTCCGGAGTCATTCCATTCTGAACATAACTCTAATGAAGAAAACCTCTGTTAACTATTATTGTTAGGTGCCGTCAAGTTACTTTTCAGCTCATCATTGTTTGAGAGAGTAGAAGTGACCCATAGAGTGTCCTAAGTAGGTTGCCATGTCTTTCTCCTTTTCAGAGCAATGGGGTGAATTTGAACCACCAATCTTTTGTTTAGCAGCCAGTTAAGTGCTTAACCACTATGCCACCAGGGCTCCCTCTCCTGAGCAGAAGGATGTGCTAAGTCAAAGCAAAACATTACTAAACCTTTCCAGCTGGAGATTTGGCACCTGTTCTGAAATATTCGGTCTGAGTTTTACTGGGTATGAGATGCACACATTTTGAACAAAAGGTGCATCTGGCAGAGGCTCCTTCGTGACTTTCTGAGCTACGATTTGTGGACTCTGCTGGATCTATACTGATGTGACCTGTTTTCTCTCTGAGATTGATGATTTAACTCAGACTAACAAGGCTATGCCTTGGAAAGGGATATCATGCTTGGAAAGGTGGAAGGTCAGCGAAAGAGAAGACCCTCAAAGAGGTGGACTGACACAGTGACTACAGCAATGATCTCAGATGTGTCAGAGATGGTGAGAATGGCACAGGGTAGGACAGGGCTCAGGTCTGTTGTTCATAAGGTCACTATGGATTGTACTTGACTCAACAGCACCTACCAACAACAACAACAACAAGAAGCACAGAAAAGTTGTACTAACTCAAAGACGGCAGCTCTCTGGGGGTTCAAACCCACCAGTTACTCCAAGGCAGAAAGATGAGCAATCTCCTCTTGTGTAGTTTACAGCCTCAGGAAATCCATTGCAAGGTCAACTAAGAGTCGGTTCTGACTTGACAACAACGAGAGATAGGACAAGTCATGGAAAGGAGCACTGGTGGTAGGGTGCATTGCATGTTGGACTATTAACTGAAAGGTTGACTGTTTGAATCCACTAGCCACTTTGTGACAGAAGCAGACCATCTTCTGGCAAAGGTTTGTGGCCTCAAAAACTTGATGGAGGGCCACCAGGAGTCAGAATCAACTCAACAGCACCGCGTTTGCTTTAGTAAGGTGTGGAAGCACGCTGGTGGCACCGTGATTAACTGCTTGCCTACTAACTGAAAGATCAGAAGTTCAAACTCATCAATTGCTCTTTAAGAAAAAAAAAAGAGGTGGCAATTGCTTCTGTAAAGGCTTATAGCTGTGGCAACCTGGGGTGGCGTGGGGGGTGGGGTAGATCTACTCTGCTCTGTGAGTTGGAATTGACTAGAAGATAACAAGTGTGTGTTTGTTTATTTTTTTTTTTTTACAAGGTCTACAAAAAGCCCTGATGGCCTAGTGGTTAGAGTGTTCAGCTGTTAAGAGAAAGGTGAGCAGCTTGAATCTGCCCGTAGCTCCAAAGGAGAAAGATTAGACAGAGGCCTTAAAGATCACAGCCTGGGCGGCCCCAGGGGGCAGCCTGCTCTCTCCCAGAGGGTCACGAGGAGCTGGAAATCACTGACAGTGAAGGCTATGGGGTGGGTTGGTTTTGTTTCTGAACAAGGTATGTCAACATTTCAAAGGAATGTTGCACCTGAAAGAAATTAAGCCAACAATGTGTGGACTGAGCTGGTAGCAAGCTGAAAATTCCAACTCAAACCAGAGATTCACCTAACCTCACATGATATTTTTCCCCCTCTCTCACTAGCTCTCATGGGAATTTTGCTCACCTTCAAACGCAAGCCCCTATTTGGAACGCCAGTGCGAGGCTACCAGACCCAAGTTAGCAAGTGCGTTCGGGAAGCAGGTATAGAGCTTGAGTTAGAAGGGAGAGACTAAGAAGAAAAAGTGGCTAAAAAGGACTTTTGAAGGGATGCCCCTCACTGGACTTCTATATGGCCTCTCCCACTTGTCCAGAGTGGTTTGAGCAGAGAAGAAAAACAAGTTTTGGCCTTACTTTCAAGCTTTTAAATGGGATAAATAGGAGCTTGGAGAGGCATTGCTCGCTCCGTGGGGCTTTGCTTTTCTTAGCCTCCTCTCCCAAGACTCTTCTGTTTTTCTTTTCTTGTTACTACTTTTCTTTACATCACGTCTCTGACGTCTTCCTCTCCCCCCACTCCCCATGCCATCTTGCTTTCATCTCGTCCGCCTATTGGTCCCAGCCAATCTGACACATGTCGTCCTGTGCCCGGTGGGTGGAGGTGGAGTGTGGTGACATGTGATGTGAAGATGTATAGTTACGTGCAGCTGGATTGATACTTCCCATCCGGGAGACACGCTTCTAGGTGGTTCTCCAAGACAAAGTTGTGCTGTCATGTCAAGGCGAGTCTAGGTTTTTCTTAATTGCAGCTTTCTCCGCTCCATCAGGAACAAGTCCCTCAGAGAGCTGAATGCTGCCGAGCAGTGTGACGAGGGCTGCATAAATTCTCCCCAGTGTGAAAGGTTGGCTCAGATAGAATTTCCTGTGGGTGAAGAAAGGGGGGAAAAAGGCCACGTTCAAAATGCAAAACTAACCCCACTGTAGTCTATTCCATTCTGACTCATAGTAAGTGTACCAGACAGAGTAGAACGGTCCCATGGAGTTTTCAAGGCTGTAGATTGTTACAGTAGACTGTCACATCTTTCCTCCTACAGAGCAACTGGTGGTGGGTTCAAACTCTCCACCTTGCAGTTAGCACCTGAGTGTTTACCTACTACACCACCAGAGCTCCCTAAAAAAGTTCAACAGGCCGTGTATCTACGCATAGTTGACCCTCCAGCCAGTTTTCAGAGGCTGTAAATCAGAAGATTGTGGATTTGAACCACTGGGCTTTGGGTTTGCAGCACAGCTTCTTACCCACTAGGCTACCAGAGCTCCCCTCAATTGGACATAGTTACCTAGAAATCTCTTCTCTGGGCACATGTTTCTGTTGTTGTGTACCACTGAGTCGAAATCAACCCCTAGCTGACCCCTGGATGGGTTTTTAGAGGAAGTTAATTGTACAGGAGGAGAATGTCATCTTTTCTTAGATTGCAGTGCAGCTTCTTGCCACTAAACCACCGTAGAAGCTTTTTTAATTTTTAAATGGTCCACTATTAAGAACAGCTCTCTCATAAGAGTTAATGATTTATGAAAAACGTTTACTTTAGAAAACAGAGCATGCAGACCTCCTTTGTTGTGGGGCATAATCCTGCTTTGATGCAATCAAGGTTGCCATGTGTTAAAACTGCCTGGAGGAAGCTCTCTATGGTCAGGCAAGTTGAATCTTAGAACATCTCTCTCTCTTTACACCCCAGCAATGAGGGGTGCCTCTCCAAGAGCTCGAGAGAGGGAGCACGGAGATCCATATCTTAACCACCCAGAGAAGTCCAGGAAGAACCTTCTGGGGCCCTTCCAACGACAGCAGGGTCAAGCAACTCCAGCCACATCAGTGCCACCTTAGACTGTCCCCACCCCTTCAGAGGCACTGACAGGAAATCCCAGAGGCCTCTGGGGGTCCTTACCTTCCAGGCTTCACTCAGCCCAGTAGAAGGTCAAGAAGAACAAAATTCCAGACCAAACCCACTGCTAAGGAGTAGGGCCCTACAAGACAGAGTGGAACTACTCCACAGGGCTTGCAAGGCTAGGGGCTTTACAAGCAGACTGCTTCCTCTGCCAATGAGGAACTGGTGGGTTGGAACTGTTGGCTTTAACCTGTAGGCCATGCGGGTAGGAAAAATCAAAGTGGAGGGAAACTGAGGTTCCATCTTCTCCAGTGCCCTCCAGAAGCTGGATTCCTGGAGTCAACTATAGGATCCCAGGACCTGAAGTTATGCTAAGGTGGAACCACAGGGCTAGGCCATTACCGTACCTATGAGTGGGGCCAGCTGGGGCCCAAGTGCAGGCTGCCAGTGTGCTGAGGAGTGAGAGGGATTGCAGCCAAGAAGGATTCTCCCTTTCCCATTCTCCAGAGGTCAGTGAGTCCCTCCAGCTGAGGTCCCAGGTACACGGGATCCCGTCTTCATAGGAAGAATATTTCCCTGGGTTAAAAGAAGCGAGGCATTTGTTTACTCCTTTAGCTCAGTGCACCTCCAGATCACAGCCCCGTGTTTGGAGGGTGCTGACGGTGGGCTGCGGGCTGTGCTGATGATCTGGATGTATGCTCTCTTAATCCTCACAACAACTCCATGATCTGTCTAGAAGTAAGTCTACATCAACTCTGGGTTCCCAGTAGTTTCTGGTCCAAAGAGAGAAGAGGGGTCTTTCCGGCCCCAAGAAGAAAAAAAGGCTGCATGGAACATTCTAGGGCTTGGAACTATAACCAGCCCAGGAACATTGAGGGCGCGGTGGCTCCAGTAACAGGTAACACCAGAGCGCCTGTGCCTCTGAAATTCCAGCTCTGTTCTCTCTCCAGTCTCTAGGAACAAGTTTGAAATATTGTCTGTTTTCACCAACACTAACTTCACAGGGGTGTGCTTAGCGCGATTTCTATGTGTGTGGTGTGTTTGTATGTGTGCACGTGTGGTTTGTGTGTGTGTGGTTGTGTGCACAGTATGACTGTGTGTGGGGTTATATACGTATGTGTGTGGGGCTATATGTGTATGCAGTGTGGTTATATGCATGTGTGTGGTATGATTGTATGCATGTGTGTCAAAATAAGAGAAAGTAATCTTCATTGTATCATCAATCCCGTAACATGAGAAAACATTCATTGTAAAATATGAGTCAGCATAATTTTTTCTCCTGTCATTGTCCAATTTTCAGATGCATTGCAAGTAATCGAAAAGACCATGGCTTGGATCAGGTGCACCTTAGTCTTTAACCTGACACCATTGCGCTCCAGCATTTTAGAGAAGTATTTGACAGCAGATTTTCCCATTGCAATACATCTTTTGCAATGTATCTGTTTTTGGTTGGCAGAGTAATTTGTCTGAGGTGAATTAGAACCTGAAATAGAGATCCAGCTGCTGTTTCTAGAATGCACTGTGCTCCCTCACTCACACTCTGCCTCTTTTTCCTAGAATGCCCTGCTTCCCTGACTCAGGCCACCTCACTTGTACTCATCCTCCATGACTCAGCTCAGACCCCAGGCCTTCTAGGACAGCTTCCTGGGAGGAGCAAGGCACTTCCTTCTTAGAGCTCCTTGGGTGGCTCAGACATGAACTCTGGGCGTTGCCATGAAAGAGATATTTTGCAATTTTGAGATTTACCCAACCTGACTTCACGGAATGATAAACTCCTTGAAAGAGGGGCTGTCTTTTCTCACAATGATTTACCTAAAACTTACCTTAGTGTTTGGCGCTTACTCAAAGCCCCAAACCTGCCTTTGAAGGAAGCAAAGAACTAGAAGATTTCTGTGGGAGCCCAGACATGGGTGATAAGGGCCTGGACTAGGGTCGGAGCTGTAGACACAGAAAGGAAGTGAAGGGTGTAAGAAGCATCTCAGAGAAATTAGTAAGATTTGGCATGGGATTGACTTTGGTGTCCAAGGAGGAAGCCACATTAAAGCTCCAAGAGATGAGTGTAACTTGACAGGGAGGGTGGGGAAATATTATATCAATACATAGAGAGCCCCAGAAAGTTCTAGAGATAGGTGCTCAGTACCCTCCTTTACCTGGGCTGTCTTTGTTGGTCTCTATCTTCTTACTGCTCCTGAAATTCCAGTCATTTCAGGATCACAGAAAGGAGGTGAAAAGGAAAAACATACATCACATTAAACTCTTATTTGAACTCTGGCTTCTAATTCTGCTTTTCTTGATGCAAATGCTTTAAAGTCAGATATAAATATGAAAACGGCCAGCCCAAAGAAGACATCAGGGAGGGGAAGGGAGGCCAGGCTGCTGAGTCTGCCGAGGGCGAGTGGGAGTGACTGTGTCTGTTCTGTCCTGTGTCTCAGCCATTTGTTTCATTTGCTGGGACTTGTGTGTTGTTGTCCATGAGCAAAAGCTGATCTAATTGCAACCAGCCTAGACAGATCTCACCAGAATGGAGAGAAAAATCATCATTCAAGCCTTTGTTCTGGGACATTAAAGAAACTAAATGAGCAATGACTGAGATGGCAGGGAAGCAAAAAGGATTTGTTCTCATTTCTTGTACTCCTCTGGTCCATTTTGTATGTGATGGCCCAAAAGCTCTTTAATCCAAGTATGAAATCTTCTCTTGCACAGACCATGTTCCCATAGTTTGCAAGCAGCCTCTACACCTTCCCTCTGATACCTTAAATCAACCGTCACCGCAAATACCAGTGTGACCTTTGCAAAATGTAAATTGAGTCACATCGCCTTCTGCTTAAGACCTGCTAAGGTTTGTAACCAATGTCACCAAACAAAACGTCTATATATTGTTGAATGGATAATGAATGTACTCCACAAACTTTCACCCAAATGACAATTTCTATTAAAAGGTAAAAAAGAAAATAATGTAAATCCTGCTAAAATTCCCACATTATATTAAAAATTCATTAGCATAATTTCCCAGGCCCTGCCTGGCCTAACTGCCTGTCCACTCCTACTTAGTGCCGTCTGTCCTACCGTCTTCCTCGCTGACCTGCCTTCCTTTTTTCTAACTCATCAAGCTCCTTCAGGTGAAGCTTCAGCCTTTACTCTCCCCATTTGTTCGTTTGACTTGTAAAGTTCTTCACCACCCTCTGCTTGGCTGTTGCCTATTCCTTCACCTTTCCTGACCTTCCAGACTCAATGTTGAACGTTAGTGTTTTAGCTATTTTTACACAGAATTAGGAACTGGATTGACAATTACCAACTATCAGTTACTGTCACCTCCACTCCCAGGGACTTCAAGTATGTCAGGGTGGAATGATGTCCAGTGGGTTCCTGATGGCTGGTCACGAGACCTTTCTTCCGTGATACCTCTGAGTGGGCGCCAACCTCCAACCCCTTGGGTTAGCAGTTAAGCATGTTGCTTGTACCTCCCAGGGATTCTTGAATGGAAATTGAGTTTCTCTTTTCTATCTCTGATACTAACTTATCCTCCTTACGGGAGAACTGCTTTTAACTTTTCCAAAGTGAGACTGACTTTGAATCTTCCGAAATGAATTCTTTTCAATTTCCTCTCTGTGTCACGTGAGTCAGGAGTCAGCGTGTGCTTGCTGGGTGGAGAAGAACGAAGCAAGAACTGGGCAAAGCTTGCCTCGTGTCCGGGACACGTGCCGGACGCCTTGGGCCAGTGCTTTTCACCCCCTTCTGTGCTCATTAACCAAGTGACTTGGTTTCTGGATTGCAGAGCCTAGATCATCTGGCTCGCGGGAAGGGGTGCAGAAGCTGAGCTGATTAAAGTCACGTACCTGAACTGGTTCTGCTGGTGCAGGTCCTCAAAAATCTGAGAAAGGGCCTTATTCTCCCCCTTGGCCATCAGCTGCATGAGATTCTCATTGGGCTGGGAGGCCAGAGGCTTCTCCTGAGGAGAAAACAAAGCCAGGTGGTGAAGGCCTGAGAGGCTCCAAGTTTCCCTGCTACTGTGGACCAGACCCTGGTGGATGGATACTCAGATTTAGTCCTTCTGAGCCCTCATGCCAGCTGCTTAGAGAAGCAATTCTGGGGCAACATCTGTTTGGTAATACCTCCTTTGAAGCTATAAAGAACCTGGGGTGCCATAAAGATAACATCTGCATTAAATACTCTCAGTACAATTTAGTAAATAACCTATTGTTACTGTTTAGTGCCATTAAGCTGGTTCTTTCTTAGCTGAGCCATGTGACAGACTAGAACTGCCTCATAAAGTGTCCTAGGGTATAATCTTTACAGGAATGGATCGCTGGGTCTTTTCTTCCAGAGATCTGCAGGGTAGTTCAAAACCACTACAGTTTTAACAGTGACCACTTAACTGACTAATCTGACATCGGAGATCCTTGATAACTATTCAATTTAATACAATTAAATGCTTTAATACAATTTATGATCTAGTAATAGGAACCTTAGGGAGTTCTGGTGGCCTAGTAATAGAGAGTTGCATTGCCAGGTCAAAGGCACATGGTTCAAATCAAACAGCTGCTCCTTGGGAGAAAGATGGGCAATTTCCATACACGGTTTACAGCCTCTGAAAACCCCTCTGAGGGTCAGCTCTGAGTTGTTTCCAACTCAAGGGCACATAACAACAACAACATTAATAAAGTTCATTCTACTTTAGCTTATAGTTACATTTAGAACTATCAAACACATATTGTAGGACTCAATGAATTTTTGAAATATTAAATTCTCTGAGAAAAATCTTATACTGAGTTGCTTGTGTAACCCTGTAGGATAGGACAACTGCCTTACAGAGTTTTGTTTTGGGTTTTGTTTTGTTTTTTCCTGAAAGTCTTTTGACCTTTATTATTGGCGTCTGAAACCTTACTTTGATATGCTCAGCTGCATATCTTTCATTTTTTTTGTTCTTCCTGTTTTTTTTTTAATTTCAATGAACATTTACAGAGATTTTGGATTTCCATTCATTCATTGTTGTACTTTTCTCCGTGCCCACCCCCTCCCACCCTCCCACCCCCCATTTGCTCTTCTCTTTGAAAAGTAAAAGAAAAATTCCTTCATTGGTATAAAATCCACCCCCACCCCCACCCCCAAGTATACTCCACTCTGCAACTTTCATATAATATATTGCTATATCGCTTTCAGACTGTTCTTTCCCTCATCTGTTTCAATGCAGTATACATAATTTATCCAGTTTTTCTTGTTCTTACCTCAACCCTGATATCAGTCCCATTCTACAGCAGTGGCACTAGGCAGTGTTTGGCCTTTTGTGACTGAGATATTTCAGTCAGCATAATGTCCTCGAGGGTCACCCATTTTGAATAATTGCCTTATAGAGTTTTCAATGCTGTTAATTTTTATAAGGACAGACTGCCTCACCTTTCTTCTTCTGGGAAGCTAGTGAGTTCGAACCACTAACCTTGTGGTCAGCATCCTCATGCTTAGTCTACAGTTCTATCAGGGAACCTTTACCATATTATACTTGGGTAAAATTGATGTCTTTGCTGTTGTCTGTGATACCAGTTGTCCCTATTCATCCATTCACCATTTACTGGATGTCAATGATGTACCAGGCACTGGAGATGCAGCCAAGAACTCTCTTTTTCTTTTTCTTTCTTTTTGTGCGCTCTTTTTCTTATTGCCAAGAGTCCGTTTCAAGTCATAGTCTTAGTATCATTTAGTTACTAACCTATTGTTCCCTGCTCTCCTGCAGGTTTCTGGGTTTGTAAATGGCACAGGAGGACATGGCCCATCTTTCTTCCTTGGATCAGCTGGTGGATTTGAACCGCCGAAGAAACCTGACCTTTGGTTTAGCAGTACAGCTCTTTGTGGACTACACCACCAGAGCTCTCGAGCTACAAACTGTTGTTGCTGATTGCCATCAAGTCAAGCATGACTCATAACAACCGTATGAACAGAAGACCTGAAGCCTTTCTATAACTATTGTCATTTCTCAAAGTTCATAATTTTCAAAGGCATGCTGTTTAGGAAGTGGATGCTACTCCTGCTTCCAAAACTGTTGTTGTTATGTGCTGTCTAGTTGCCTGCGACTCATAGCGACCCTATGTAACACAGCCCTACACCCTGCTCTATCCTTGCCAATCTCACTGTCTCTGACACATCTACCTCCATCACCCAGTCACTGAATCAATCCATCTCATCCAGAGTCTTCCTCTCCTGAACTGTCCCCCCACCCTCCCAAGCATGATGTCTCTCTCCAAGGACTGGTCCCTCCTGGCAACATGTCCAAAGTATGTCAGACAAAGCTTAAGAATCCTTGCCTCCAAATAGCAGGTTGGCTTCACCCTCTCCAGGACAAACATACTTGCTTTCTTAGCAGTCAATGGTATTTTCAATACTCTTCTCCAGCACCACAGCTCAAAGGCATCAATTCTCCTTCTATCATTCCTAGTCATTGTCCAGCTCTCTGATGCATAGCAAATGATTGCAAAGACCTGTATCAGGTACACCTTAGTCTCCAGAGTGACATCATTGCTCTTCAGTACTTCGGAGAGGTCTCTAACAGCAGACTTTTCCATTGCAATGCATCTTTGAATTTCCTGGCTGCTGGTGCCAAGAGTATTGATTGTGGAGCCAAGCAGACTAAGATTGTGAACAATCTCACTCTCTTTACTCATGGTGCTGCCAATTGGCTCAGTGGTGAGAATCTTGGTTTTCTTGATATTGAGCCTCAATCCACACTGAAGACTGCAGTCCCTGACCTTCCACAGCAAGCACTTCAGGTCCTCCTCAGTTTCAGCAAGCAGGGTTGTGTCATCTGCATAACGCAGATTGTTGATAGATCTTCCACCAATCCTGACACCACATTTCTCCTCAAAGAACCCAGCCTCCTGGATAATGTATTCTGCATTATGATCGAAAAGGTATGGAGATAGGATAAGTCCCTGGAGTACACCCTCCCCAATTTTGAACCATGCAGTGAGTTTCCTTGCTCTATTCTGACAGCTGCCTCCTGGCCCAAGTATAGCTTTCACATTAGCATATTCAAGTGTTCTGGGAGGCCCATTCGTCTCAGAGTCAGCCACAGTTTGTTATGATCCACACAGTCAAATGTCTTTGCCTAATCAATGAAACCAAGACATTATTCTGATACTCCCGGCTTTCAGCCAAGATCCAGCTAACATTAGCTACATACAATATCACTAGTACCATGACCCCTTCTAAACCCAGCCTGCACTTTTGGTAGTTCTCTGTTGATGTGCTGTTCCAATCGTTTTTGGATAATCTTCAGCAGAATTTTGCTTGCATGTGATATCAATGATATGGTTTGATAATTTCCACACTCTGTGTGATCACCTTTCTTTGGAATGGGAACAAATATAGATCTCTTCCAATCAGTTTGACAAGTGGTTGTTCTCCAGATTTCTTGGCACAACTTGGTGAGTACATCTAAGGCAGCATCTCTTGGTTGAAATATGTCAATTGGTATACCATCTATTTCTGGGGCCTTATTTTTAGCCAATTCTTTCAAAGCAGTTTGAACTTCTTCCTTCCTCACCACAGGCTCTTTCTCATATGTTGTTTCATTATATTCTTCTGTGTCTGCCAATTCCTTTTGGTATAATGACTCTGTATACTCTTTCCAGATTCAAATATATATGTGTATATGTATGTACAAGGGATCTTTAGTGGCTTAGTGGCAAGAAGCTGTGCTGCAATACCAAAGGCATGCAGTTCAAGGCCACCAGCTGCTCCATGTAAGAATGGGCAATCTCCTCCTGTGCAATAAACTGACTCTGAAAACCTGCCAGAGGGTCAGCTATGGGTTGATTCCAACTCTGTGATACACAACAATAACAACAATAACATGGAGAGAGAGAGAGAGAGAGAGATAACTACCTATCTTATATGTTAATATATTACCTTATGGTCTATGGTCACACTGCCCTGAGCACACCCAGTCCCATCTGATCTCAGAAACTAAACAGGGTTGGATCTGCATAGTTTGGTTTTTTTTAAAGCTAAGGAAGCTTTATTAAGGGGTCTCCTGGGTGGGATACCTTGGTCGGCCGAGAGAGAAACAGGTAGGGGGCCAACCAGGGAAATACCACTAGATCTGCATAGTTTTAGAATGCGAGATACGATACCTTATCCAGAAAATTCCAAGAAATTAACATAAAAAACTAATATAATTAATAAACAAAATCTATACACTAATCAATACATTTCTATACACGAGCGATGATCCAAATGAAATTAATAAAACAATGTTATTCACAATAGCATTAACACAAATAAAATTACTTAACGATAAATATAATGAAAGCATTACCCACTCTGTACTGAAAACCACAAAACATTGCACTAAACTATAAAATATGATCAAAGACATTAAAGAAGATACAAAATAAATGGAAAGGGATTTCCTATTGATCTGCTGGAAGACTCAGTACTGTCAAGATGCAAATTCTCTCCAAAGCAGTTTAAAAGCTGGTGTGTCCTTATCAAAATTCCAAATATCTGATGTGGTTGTAAAATGGTGCAACCCCTTTTAAACATAATTTCCCAGATTCTTTAAAAGTTAACCATAAATGCAACAATGAATGAATGGAATTCCAAAATCTCTGTAGATGTTCATTGAAATGAAAAACAAACTAAATTAATAAAAAAAAAAAGTTAACCATAAACGTATTGGGTGGGTACTCAGCAATACCATCTGTTGTACTCTGTGTAAAACAAATGAAGACAAGTCTACACAAAATCTGTGCAGAAGTGCTCACAACAGCTTATTCATAATAAGCAAAACAAAAAAAACAAAAAAAAATAAGCAAAACAAAGCAAAAAATCCCAATGTCTAGCAACCAATTTATGGAAGACCAATTTATGGAGATGGCATACAGCTCGGTGGCTGTCAGGGCTGGGCTAGAAACAGGGCTTACCAACAACCAGGCCCAAGAGAACTTTTGAGCAGAGATATTCGAAAATGGGATCATGTTGATAGTTGCCCCAGTTCAAGTGTACACTCACAGTGGGATTTTTAAAATGTTTGTGATTTTCTCTCAACTTTCGTTAAAATAACAATTTAAAAATTAAAAAAATGAGAAAAATAAGAAATAAAGTGTTTGTGAATGACGCTTCGATAAAGCTATTTAGAAAAGAAAATGTCTTCAGCAGAAATGTACAGCACTCACCAAGCCCCCACACGCCATCTCATCTGAACCCAAGCTCTCAGCTCTGGCGCTAAAGGCTGGGAACGGTGCCCACTCACCTTAGCATCTCCCGAGGCGTTGCACCTGTTCTTGGGGACCAGGCAGTGAGTGACAAGAATCCTAGGATCCTTGGTGGTGATGGACAGGCCCTTCTGCAAGATCCGGACCAGCCGGATCCAGAAGTGGAACACGATCTCAGGGTGGTCAGGGTGCAGCTTCAGGTAGTAGATCTTCTCGGTGACCGTCCTCAACCTCAGGATGCGCTGCAGGCGGTCACAGACCTGGAGCTCCACGAACTTTAACGGGAGAATCCTGAAGGCACGAGGGAAGACGGACTGATCATGGCCTTGCTCCTGCTGTTTTTTGGGGTTGTTTTTGTTTTTTTTTAATTTTAATGAAAGTTTACAGAGACTTTAGATTTCCATTCATTCATTGTTACACTTTTCTCCCTGCCCAACCTCCCCCCCCTTACTTCATTCTTCTCTTAGAAAAGTAAAAGAAAAATTCCTTCATTTTTATACAATCCCTCCCCCCAAGTCCACTCCACTATATAGCCTTCATTCTGGACTCCTGTCATGATAAAAATACCTAATCACATATCCCTTTTAAACAGTTTTCTCTCCCTCATCTGTTTCAATGTGGTATACATAATTTATCCCATCTTTCTCATTCTCCCCCCAACCCTGATATCAGTCCTGTTTTACAACAGTGGCACTATGTACTCAGTTTTGTGACTGAGGTATTTCACTCAGCATAATGTCCTCCAGAGTCATCCATTTTGTATTTCATGAGTTCCTTGTTTTTCATTGCAGCGTAGTATTCCATTGTGTCAACATACCACAGCTTTTCTATCCATTCGTTTGTTGATGGGCACTTAGGTTGTTTCCAATTCTCAGCTATTGTGAACAAAGCCGCGATAAACATGGGTGTGCAGATGGTCTTGCTTCTAATAAGACCCTGTCCTCAGAGAAATGAGGGAGATGTCTTCTTCAGGAATGAGGCTTTTAGAAGTAGGAAAGAGTGTGCTTAGCATAGGGGTATTCAAACTGTGGGATGTCGGATTTACCTGGGGAACTTATTTTATATCAAGACACTTGATGCCCACATCCAAACATTCGAATCCATATATCCAGGGAGTTGTCCTGGAATCCGCATTTAAATTTTTACCCACTCTACCATGATGCACATGAGAGACACAGCCCAGAACATGATGGCTGGGGCCCTAGGGTTCAAACACACAGTGAACTTCCCTACTCTGCCAAGAGTTGGGTTCATTCATCTAGCTTGTCCATCTGCTGACTTGAATGTCACCATTGCTCTTCCCCAAGGTGCTAAGGCCACAGAACTGGCTCTGGACCTAATAATATTCATAATATTCATCCAGGGGCTGGTCTGTTCTTATTTTTATGTCTGGTTCATCCACACAGAAGGGAGAGGTTTGTCACAGAGGAAACATGAGAAAGGAAAGGATTCTCTGGACTTCTTGAGTGACCTTGTGACTTTTGAGATAAATACTGCACTTTACTTGATGATGTCTGTTAAGGGTTGAATTGTGTTCCTCCAATATATGTGTTACATTCATAGTTAAAAAGATATTTCAAGACCTAACCTAAAGTACAATGTTCTGAGTGATAGGATCCATATGCATACAAGGAAGACCTGTTCCTACAGCTGTTATTCAAATATACACATTAACAACTAAAGCCAAAGAGAAGGAAATTAAAAATTCTACTACCTTTTTTTAAATTTTATTTTTTTATTTTGTGTGCATGTACCGTCAAATCGGATCTGACTGGTACAGGAAGAGATTGTCCAGATGCTCTGCTGGATTTGAACTGCAGGCCTCTGGGATTGTAATACAGCTTCTTGCCACTAGGCCACCAGAGCTCCCTCAAAATTCTACTAACTTTTGTAGTTTGGAATTGATTGAAGAGGCAATCAAGATGCTTTAATAAAAACTGGTGACTAGAATTAAAAAGTTAGAAACAAAGAAGGATTGGTAGTAAGAAATTATGGACTTGGTGACAGAAATGAGGCTGGAGATTGAATAACTGAATTTTGTACAATCAATCATTTCTTTCTTTTTTTTTAAAAAAAAAAACAAAACAGAAAAACAAGCAACCCACAATTGGAACCATACACATGGACCTCACATAATGGACTGCACAGGAGTGAGATTGACTAAATCTGTGAAAAAAATTATTGGAGAAGCTCAATATCAGCAGTCAAAATCAGATCAGGTGCTGACTATGGAAGAGATCATTAATTACTCATGTTCAAGTTCAAATTGAAGCTGAGGATAATTAAAATAAGTCCATAAGAAGGAAAATACTACCTTGTGTCTGTTCTACCAGAATTAAAAAAACATCTCAAGAATAAGTTTGAATCATCGATTGAAGACCAGATGAGTTGTGGGATAACATGAAGGTTATCATCCACGAAGCAAGCAAATGGTCATTGCAAAGACAGGAGAGGAAAGAAAGACCAAAACAGATGTCAGCAGAAACTCCAAAAATTATGCTAGAGCATTGAAAAGCCATAAAAAGGGAAGAGATACTCAAGTTAAAGAGTCGATCAGAAGATTTCAAAGAGTAGCCTGAGAAGACAAAGCAAAATATAATGGAATGTGCAGAAAGCTGGAGTTCTAGAATAAAAAGGGGAGAACTTGCTCAGCATTTCTCAAGTTGAAAGAACTGAAAAAGAAATTCAGCCTCAGGTTGCAATACTGAAGGTTGCTATGGGAAACATCAAAAGAAGAGGGAAAGAATAGGCTGTGTGTATGTAGATAGATAGATAGATAGATAGATAGATAGATAGATGATAGATAGATAGATAGATAGATAGATAGATAGATAGATATAGATAGATAGATAGATAAAGATATTGTTGTTTGTCGTTGTTATGTACATAGAGTTGCCTGTGTGACTCATAGGGACCTTATGTACAATAGCCCTGAAACTTGCTCTATCCTGGGCCAACTTTACTCTCTCCAACACACCAACCCTCATTAACCCAGTCACTGTATCAATCCATCTCTTCGAGGATCTCCCTCTCTTTCTCCATCCCTCCACCCTTCCAAGCAAGATGTTCCTCTCCAAGGACTGGTCCCTTCTTGCAACTTGCCCAAAGTATATCAGATAAAGAAAGCAGTCAAGAAATCAAAACATGTGTTGCACTAGAAAAGTCAGCTGTCAAGAATCTCTCCAAAAATACTAAAGAGCAACGGTGTCAGTTTTAAGATTAAGGTGGGCCTAACTCAACCTTTTCAATTACTTACTGTGCATCTGAAAGTTGGACAATGACTAAAATTACATATGAGCTGATGACTTTGTGTTGTTGTTGTGTGCTGTCGAGTCACTTTCCACTCATAGCGACCCTATGTACAACAGCCCTAAACTCTGTTCTGTCCTGTGCCAATCTCATTGTCTCTGACACACTCATCCCGATTGCCCCAGTCACAGAATCAATCCACCTCCCAGAGGGCCTTCCCCTCCTGCGCCTGCCCTCCACTCTCCCAAGCATGATGTCCCTCTCCAAGGACCCATCTCTCCTTACAACATGAGCAAAGTATGTCAGATGAAGCCTCAGAATCCTTGCCTTCACGGAGCAACCTGGTTTAACCCTTTCCAGGATGATCTGTTTGTTTTCTTAGCAGTCCATGGTACTCTCAATACTCTTCTCCAGTACCACAGCTCAAAGGCATCAATTCTCCTTCTATCCTCCCTAGTCATCGTCCAACTCTCTGATGCATAACGAGTGATTGCAAAGACCACGGCCTGTTTCAGACGCACCTTAGTCTCCAGAGAGACATCCTTGCTCTTGAGTACTTTAGAGAGATCCTTAACAGCAGACTTTCCCATCGACTTTTCCTTTGAGTTATGATGTTAGAGAAGAGTACTGAATATCCTTTGGACTGACAAAAGAAGCAATATATTTTGAAGAACATGACACCAAGCTGCTCCTTGGAGGCAAAGATAATGAAACTTTGTTTCACATTCTTTGGGCATGTTGTTAGGAGGGGCTTGTCCCTGTAAAAAGAGATCATGCTTGGAAAAGTGGAAGGTCTGTGAAAGAGAGGAAGACCCGTGACAAGATGGATTAAAACAGTGACTGTGACAACGTTGTTGTTGTTAAGTGCCATCGAGCCACCTGTAACTCATAGCAACCCTATGTACAAGCAGTTCTAAACTCTGCTCTATCCTGTGCCAATCCTATTATCTCCGGCACACCTACCCCCATAACCTCAGTCACTGAGTCAATCCATCTCATTGAGGGTCTTCCTCTCCTACGCTGTCCCTCCACCCTCCCAAGCATGACATCCCTCTCCAAGGACTGGTCTCTCCTTGCAACATATCCAAAGTATGTCAGACGAAACTTCAGAATCCTTGCCTCCAAGGAGCAGCTCTGTTTCAACTTTTCTAGAATGAAACTGTTTGTTCTCTTAGTAGTCCATGGTATAGTCAATACTTTTCTCCAATACCACAGCTCAAAAGCATCAATTCTCCTTCTATCCACCCCTGTCATTGTCCAGCTCTCTGATGCATAGCAAGTGATTGCAAAGACCTTGGCCTGTATCAGGCGCACCTTAGTCTCCAGACTGACATTGTTCTTCTTCAGTACTTTGGAGAGGTGTCTGACAGCAGACATTCCTAATGCAATTTATTTTTTAATTTCCTGGCTGCTGGTGCCAAGAGTGTTGATTGTGGACTTTAACAATAGGCTAAAGTATATCAAAGATGATGAGGATGGCACAAGAAATGGCATGATTCGGATCTATTGTTACTGGGACACTATGATTTTACTGGACTTGAGGGTACCTAATAACAACAACATTAATTAGCTAAATCCTCAGTATTGTGTAATTCTCCTTCATTTTAGGATCTGTTGTAATTTTCCCAGTATTGTAAATTCTAGGCTTTATGAGGGTCGGCTACGTACTGTGACAATCAGCAACGATGACTTTCAAAATTATCTGCAGCTGGTTAATTGCATAGCAAGGACTAGAACTTGTCTCTCACAACCAGTGCTCTCTCTGCCAGTTCTTATTGTTTCAATTGCCTTCTGTTGTGACAAGAAGGAAAGTAGGCACACATTCTGGCCCCTCGTTCTGTCCACACACCTCTTCCCTTGGCCCCACTGGACTTCCCTGCTTCCATTTTGCCACTTCTTTGGGTCACTTCAATTTACAGAAGCAAATACCATTGCTGATGACATCTCTGCATCCTCTATTCCTTGGGTTGTCACAAAACAGCCTCTACTTGGGGTCTACCCTCCCCACTCTTGCTCCCTGTTCCCCATCTGCATTGCTTACCTCTTCAGGATGATGTTTGGGGTTATGGATGGTCTGTTCCATGTCTGGCTCTGCCCCTGGTGCCACTTGACATTGGCCATGAGAAGGATGTTGGGAAGGGGCAGGCAGGGCACGGAGGAGGTCACCCCCAGGGCTGTGGTGTTGGAGGCTTTGTAGATGTCTATCCAGTGTCTGTCCCTCCTGACCTGCAAAGCATCCCAGGACTCAACAGGGAGCAAGGCGTTCTAACCCAGGCTCCTGACCCTCCACACCATTAATGTCTAAACCCACTGCTGACAAGCCTTTCTGATTCATTATGACCGTCTACTGGATTTCCAAGGCTATAAATCGTAATGGGAGGAGGTCGCCTTGTCTTTTCCCATGAAGCATCTTGTGGATCCCGATTGCCAATCTTTTGATTTGCTGCCCCTCCAACCAGGGCGTGATTTCTTGTTGTAGGGGCTGATCTATCACTGCAGCATGTTTAGCAGCTTCCTGGTCTTTCCTTCCTCCCTCCCCTCGAGTGGTGACAACCAAACAAATAGAAAAAGCTATTGCCATTGAGGTGATTTTGACTCAAGGTGACTCTGTTACAGAATAGAGCTGCTGCATAGAGTTATCTTCACTGTAATTTTTGTGGTAGTAGAGCTCTGAGACCTTATTCTCTATCACCAACCTCTAGGATGATAATTGAGCTCAAACTATTTGTGCAATTGAGGGAACTTGCCAAATATCCACTGAGGATTATGGAGGGAGCAGAAATCATGCTCCATTGAGAATCTATTTATTTAGATGAAATACTTGTAACAATCCTTCAATCACCTGTTAACAACCCTGCCTTCTGTAACATTTTGGTGACTCTGCCCTGCCTATATCTTGGCTTGTCTTTGAAAATGTGTCCTTGTGACCTTTCTTCGAAAGACTCTGTCATCTCCTGAGCCCTCACTGGATCTAAGGGATTGTCCAACAGTACAGCTTTGTTCAAGGTTCCACCTGGTCTGAGGACAGTCCAGGTAAGCCAGTGAAACACATGAAATATCTCCACAGAGTGCACATGGACCACCTTTCTTGCCTTTGACTTTACTGCATTTTGTGGATACCCTGTTCTTTCAGCACCATTTTTTCCCAATAGCTCATTTTGTGTCTCTGTATCACATTTTGAGAATTATTACAGTATTTCAAATGTCTTCATAATTCTATTGCACAGTTAATACACACTTAAACTATAAGGTAAATATCACTTTAATGCACTGAGAAAACAAAAGAAATTGTGTCGCTTGTGTAATACTAGCTAGCTCCCCCCCCCCCAGTTGCCTGGAATCAAACAGCAAGCAGTACTTCTTAGTGATGCCTTTGCTTGGCCTGCTGTGTTTGAATTGGACTCTAATTTAAACGTCAACTAAGTTCTCTTTACAGCCAAGGAAATGGAGCCAAGGAGGTTACTTGCACAATGATGCCTTCCAACTCGAGGATGTTGCTGTTTTGTTGTTATGTGCCGTCGAGTCACCTGCGACTCATAGCGACCCAATGGACAACAGCCCTAAACCCTGCTCTATCCTGTGCCAATGGCACTGTCTCTGACATACCTACCCCCATTACCCCAGTCACTGAATCAATTCACCTCATAGAGGATCTTCCTCTCCTGTGCTGTCCCTCCACCCTCACAAGCATGATGTCCCTCTCCAAGGACTGGTCCCTCCTTGCAACATGTCCAAAGTATGTCAGACGAAGCTTCAGAATCCTTGCCTCCAAGGAGCAGCCCCGTTTAACCCTCTCCAGGACAAACCTGTTTGTTCTCCTAGCAGTCCATGGTATATTCAATACTCTTCTCCAACACCACAATTCGAAGGCATCAATTCTCCTTCTATCATCCCTCATCATTGTCGAGCTCAGACCTCTCCATTCCCAGCTGGTGTTGTTTCATCAATCGGAGCATTTCTGTTCCTAACTTTCACGGGGGCAGGGGGCAGGATTCTCATTTCATCACCTCTTTGTTCACCTGCTTGGGGCAGCCTGGATGATGAGTAAATTGATGGATCCCCACACCCACCTGTCACTCTTGAGCACAGCGCACCTGACTTGTCTCCAGGTTGATATCAAAAGCTTGGTGGTGCCCATTGAGTCGATTCTGACTCGTGTCGACCTCCACGCGTGCAGAGCAAAGCTGCTCGTAAGGCTCTCAAAGCTGTGATCTTTTCAGAAGCAGGATGCCAGCCAAGCCTATGTTCTGGGACACCTCTGGGTGAGTTTTTGCTGCCAAACATTCAGCTAGCAATTGTGCATACAACCATCTGCACCACCCATGGAATCTACCTGATCTCTGTCCACATGAATCCCTGCCTGGGCTCCTGATGCAGGGCGGGGTGGCCTGCTAGCTTCTCCTGCCTCAGCTCTTACTCTGCACTAGTCCAATCTTGGCAGCAGGTCTACAAGAAGCTACAAGGATGCTATGTATGCTATTCTGAGCAACCCAAGTACCTGGACAAAGTTACTTTCAAACACCACAGAGTTAGGAAAGAGGTTGAATTCTGGAGAATGCACCATTTGGCAGAGCAGTCCCTCCTCCACACCAAAGACCACTCCAGGGTTGGGGTCCCCAGCCACAGGCAAGAGGCCCCTGCTTTCTTCCCAGGCATCCAGGGGAGGGAAGGCTGGACAGGATCGTGTGACTTGTACTGTCTTCTTCAATTTCCACCAAGGCTTTCTCTGTGGAACTGATGACATTTCTACACATGCTCAGGGTCTGCTGCACGGTTGTCCTGGGATCTCCCTCTTCCTCCTGGGCTTGGGGACAGCTGGCCCAGGGCTGGGATCGCCATTCTAGGCAGCTCACAATGATGAATGGATGACATCATGTAACCAGGGCAGGCCTGCAGACAAGGGAGTGGGGGGAGCCTCCCTGCCGCTCCTGAGCACTTTTGTGAGTGATGCCCTGACATCACCCAGCCTTTCTCTGGACAGAGGACTTAACTCTTCCAGAAAGTGCTGAGAGAGCAATGAGCCCGGCAGGAAATGGGGCAGACTTCCTTCTTGTCTAAAGGAAAACATCCTCCCAACCGTTCAACTCCTGCCTTAATCTTCATGCAACCCACCCCAAACCGGGTTTTTTGTTTTAGCTTTTTAAAAGATCACTGAAGATCTACATGCGGTTAGCTATAAAGAATAATGGAGACAGATTTCACCTACACTTCACGCTATCCCCCTGCTCTGGTGTCCGAGTGGCGAGGAGTTGCACTGCCAACCTAAAGGCACATGGTTCAAATCCACCAGCTGTTCCGTGTGAGGAAATGTACAATCTCCTCCCACAATTTCTACCTTTGAAAACTTGCTGGAGGGTCAGCTCTGGGTTGATGCTGACTCAGTACATAACAACAACAATCCTGATGGTTACTATATTACATAATTATAGTACAACATCACCACCAGGCCACTGACATCGATCCCCCCCAACACACACACACACACACTGGTCTTGGTGACGCACAGTAGAAAAAGGAATCTATACTTGTCCCAGGGCTGTCACAACAACGCAGCACAAGTCAGATGGCCAATGGGAACAAGAAATCGCTGTCTCACAGTTCTGAAGGCTGGAAGTTCAAAATCAGAGTGTCAGCAGTGTTGGTTGCTTTCAAGGGCACTGAGGAGGGTCTGCCCAGGACTTTCTCCCAGACGATGTCTCCAGGTGATGATTGATGATTGGTCCTTGAGTTCCTGGCACTGCCAATCACACTGGCTTCAGCCTCCAACCTCACAGGGCTGCCTTTTCTCCATATCTGTCTGTTCTCTTTCAAAAGGAAACCACTCAGATTGGATTAGGACCCACCCTCCTCCTTTATGACCTCATGTTAACTGGTAACATCTTCAAAGACCCTGTTTCCAAACAAGGTCAGACTCAGAAGGAAAGTCTGGAGGCTTGGGACTCCAGTTCCTCTTTTTTTTCAGTGACACAGTTCAGTCTATAATAGGATCCCAGGGGGGATAAGCGGAGCAGAAATAAGAAGGGAGCCCACACTCCCTCCTCATTACTCTCCCTTTCTTCATTATAGGAGGCCTGGTGGCATAGTGCGTAAGGGGTCTGGATGCTAAACTAAAGGAAAGCAGTTCGAATCCACTGCTGTTCAGTGAGAGAAAGAGAAGTAGTTTCCATGCATAAAGATTTACAGCTTCAGAAAGTTGGTGGAGGGTGGCTTTGAGTCAGAACCCATCCAGCAGCAGTGGGTTGGGCTTACCGTGTTCATTGTATTCCAGCCTCTCTGATACTGTGGTGTCTTTTACCACCTACTTACACTCCCATTACAGTGTAAGTGCCATGCGGTCTGCAACGTGTATCCATTCGGTTGCCTGTTGTAAAACCAGTGCCCGCTATGTGGTCAGTTTTAGCCAAATTTTAGGGAGCTCTGGTGGTCTAGACCGGAACCCTGGTCATCTAGTCGGGGGCTCCAGTAGTCTAGTTGGGGGCTCTGGTGGTCTAGACGAGCCTTGGTGGTCTAATCGGGAGCCCTGGTGGTCTAGATGGGGGCTCTGGTAGTCTAGTTGGGGGCCCTGGTAGCCTAGTCGGGGGCCCTGGTAGTCTAGTCGGGGGCTCCAGTAGTCCAGACGGGAGCTCTGGTGGTCTAGTCCACAGCAGGTTGCCTGCTAACCCAAGGCCAGGCTTCTTGGCAAGTTGCAGCCTCCCAGCCTCTCCTCAAGGGAAAGACGAATGGTCGCGGCCTCCCATTACAGGTGGCAGCTCACTGTGAGGCACTGCTAACTCAAAGGCAGTGGTATTTTTTAGTTTAGCCAAATTTTAAAATGAAAGAAAAATTATTTTCACACAATTATGCAACCTTTCTGAACTCCTTTTGTTGTTGTTGTTGTTGTTATGTACCGTTGAGTCACCTGCTCATAGCAACTCTATGTACAACAGCTCTGAAGTCTGCCCTGTCCTGAGACAGTCTCACTGACTCTAACACACCTACCCCCAGTACCCCAGTCACTGTATCAATCCATCTCATCTGGAGTCTTCTCCTGTGCTGTCCCTCCACCCTTCCAAGCATTATGTCCTTCTCCAAGGACCAGTTCCTTCTGGCCATGTGACCAAAGTATGTGAGGTGAAGCTTCAAAATCCTAGCCTCCAAGAAGATACCTGTATTCACCCTCTCCCAAGACAGGCCTATTTGTTCTCTTGGTGGTCCATGGTATGTCCAGCGCTCTTCTCCAGCACCAAAACTCAAAGGCATCAATTTCCCTTCTATCATCCTTGGTCATTGTTCAGCTCTCTAATGCATAGCAAGTGATTGTGAAGACAGTGACCTGGACCAGACTGACTCTCCAGCAGGTATTTGGAGGCTAAAAAAAAAAAATCACATGGGAGGAAATTGCCCATCTTTCTCCCTCGGAACTGCTGGTAAATTTGAAACACCAGAGGACTGCTTGCTTTGTGTCAGTACACAGCTCCCAACAGGCTAAGCCACCAGAATTTTCTCACTCTCTAGAATACATATGTTGTTGTTGTTGTTATATGCCGTCGAGTCGCTTGTGACTCATAGCGACCCTATGTACAACAGCTCTAAACTCTGCCCTGTCCTGTGCTAATCACACTGTCTCTGACAGACTCATCCGATTGCTCTAGTCACCGAATCAATCCATCTCCCAAAGGGCCTTCCCCTCCTGCACCTGCCCTCCACCCTCCCAAGCATGATATCCTTCTCCAAGGACCGATCCCTCCTTACAACATGACCAAAGTATGTCAGATGAAGCCTCAGAATCCTTGCCTCCATGGAGCAGCCCGGTTTAACCCTCTCCAGGATGAATCTGTTTGTTTTCTTAGCAGTCCATGGCACCCCCAGCATTCTTCTCCAACACCAAAGCTCAAAAGCATCAATTCTCCTTCTATCCTCCCTAGTCATTGTCCAGCTCTCTAATGCATAACAAGTGATTACAAAGACCATGGCCTGTACCAGACTCACCTTAGTCTCCAGAGACACACTGTTGCTCTTGAGAAGTTTAGAGAGGTCCCTAACAGCAGACTTTCCCATGGCAATACGTCTTTTAATTTCCTGGCTGTTGGTGCCAAGAGTGTTGATTGTGGAGCCAAGCAAACTAAAGCTGTGAACAATCTCAATCTCTTCGCCATCCAACCTGATGCTGCCAATTGGTCCAGTGGTGAGAATCTTTATCTTGATATTGAGCCTCAATCCATATTGAAGGCTGCAGTTCCTGACCCTCTGCAGCAAGCGCCTCAGGTCATCCTCAGTTTCAGCAAGCAGGGTTGTGTCATCTGCATAATGCAGATTGCTGATAGATCTTCCACCAATCCTGATGCCACATTTCTCCTCATAGAGCCCAGCCTCCTGGATGATCTGTTCTGCATCCCAAAGAATGCATATACATAAACATTTACCATTCCATTATCTTTACACGCATAATTTGGTGACTTTAATTACATTCATCATGCTATACTGCCATTACCCGCCATTTATTTACATATTTTTTCCATGACTTTTAACTGAAGGTGAACTGTGTTTTAAAAAAATCTGTACAGTGGGCATAATGTTACCCATCTGCAGAGAACAAAATGAGGTACAAGGTGTCAGTTTTTCAGCACATCATGCCCAGCAGAGTCCTACACAGTTTTAAGGGCTATTTGCTGATTTAAAGTGTCCCTGAGTGGCACAAGTTAACACTGGGCTGCCAACCAAAAGGATGGAGGTATGAGTATACCCAGGGGCACCTTGGAAGAAAGGCCTGGCAATCTTCTGGGAAAAATCAGCTGTCTGAAACCTTGTGGAACAGAGTTCTGTTGGTGCACAAAGGCTCTCCATGAGTTGGAATCAGCCTGATGGCAGGTGGTACCAGGATGTCTGTTTAAAACCCAGCCTTCTGAGCTTTGTGGGAGCGGGTCACACATACTCAGTTCTAGGCACAAGACTTATCTGGGGTGGAAGGTGCTGGAGGGCTGAGGTGCTCCGCTGTGACTGCATCCCTTAGGAGGTCACGTGGAAGGAAGACGCGGTTGAAGTAATTAGCTTCTTACCTGGAGGCTGGTTCTGACTGAGCACGAGGCCAGCTCCCCTGTGTCTCCATCCACCCCTGGGAGTGGCCCCTCAGCTTGTCCTGCACCAAGGACGCCAGAGTGTGAATGAATCTCAGCTTGGCTTGGTCAGATCAGGGCTAAACACCTAGGTCTCTAACCTCTGCATATGCCCTTTTCAGGAAAAGATGGATTCTAACTTGGATACGCCCCTGGATTTATTACACCATGTATTAACCAAAGCCGAATGAGATGAATTCATGTAAACAGCCGATGACAAGCAGTATGTGCAAAGTTCAAGCATAGAAGTTCATTTTTGCCGTTTCATGATATAGTCTGGGAGGGGGTTGGAAGTTCTTGAGGCTGCTCTGTCTTGATGCCTTCAAACTTAGGTCATTAATGTTATCGCCCTCCTCACGTCCTTGTATCCCCCTGACCATTTATAAACTTACTTCGAACTCACGGGCCTCCTTTTCACTTTTTTCAAATATTGAATTGATTTTAATGAAAGTTTACAGAGATTTTGGATTTTCATTCATTCATTGTTGCACTTTTCTCCCTGTCCACCCTTTCCCCTCAATTTGCTTTTCTTTCTGAAAAGTAAAAAAATAAATAAATAAAAATAAAAAATTCTTTCTTTGTTTTTCAATCCCTCCCCCTAAGTCCACTCCACCATGCTGCCCTCGTTCTGAACTCCTGTTATAACAACAAT